CTACAGGTTTAATGTTACGAGAAAGAAGGAAGAAGGGCGCATGACAGCACCTTTCGAGGGGTGCTTCCACTTTACATCAAAAGCAGTTCTCTCCACGCGCGCGCGTCAGGTTTGAGTGGTGCTCCACCCAAGGAGCCGCGCCCTGCAAGAGGCAACAGCTCCGCAGGGGCGAAGACGTCGGGCAAAGCGTCTACGCCCTTTCGCCAAACGAAGCCCATTCACCTTGCCAATTTTTGAAAACCCGAGAGAGTCTACAATGCGTTTATGTATCTACATCTCGTATGGAAGAAGGCAATTCCTGCTCGTTTGATGTCAGTTATTATCCTGCATTCGTGACAACGGATGATAGAAAGATTGCTGCGACATGAAGGCGCGAATTAATATTAGCCAAGCGAGTGCGAACGTGGCGCGCGTATCTTTGGTTGTGAATAGGTCATCCATAAAATTGTGATGACGAATTGACTGCTGTCCTTGCGCCCACCAAAACATGTAACATTCGCACAAAAAAGCATCTCCTCAAAGTCCCACTTTAGTCACTTCCAGTGCCTTAATACTATCATATGTAAGCAGAACAACCATGATAAACCAAAGAAAAACCGATTTTGAGTATAGATGAAAACCAAGAAAATTCGGTTGTCGGAAGATATGTGTGCGCGGTTGCCGGGGGTTTACTATGGGTCATGATGTATCAAAACAATCTTTTTGCAGCTATTTGCAGATAAAGCAGCTGCTAGTTACTACTTGTCATTTAATTCAATGTCTTGATACCGTTCTCAATTTGACTTCCGATAAGTTTCAGTCGTTCTTCACTACTTCACTGGAGAATAGTCGGAAAGTGTTAGCTATTGAGAAATGAAGTAAAAACAAGTGTGCTATTTTATTGGTTGTCGTAAATTTCTGTTTCATGTTTTATTTTGATTCTTGAAAATCTCTCAGAGGTTCTCGAGAGACCTCACGTTCAAGGCATGTTGACGAGGTGCAAAGGTCTGCCCGTCGGTACATTTACGCGGTTCATTCGCAGAACACTCACTTTGTGGGTGGGTGTACGTTTTATGACCTCTTTCAACAACTGGCATTTTGATCAGTTGAACAGTTAGAGGCTGGACATTGATAATCGGACAGAGCATCTATTGTTGTAAAATTGGTAAGTAGTTTCAGTTGATAAAATCGTCTTCGTCAGAGGCAGGGCCCGGCACAGATGGTTTGGGGTCAAACTGGACTTCTTGGAGTGAGAACAAAGCGGTTATCGTAAAATTTGCTATACATAGATTTGAGTGACTTCCAAATATGCTAACCAGTTGGACGTAAATGACATGCTCTAACGTATCCTTTCTCATCAAGCGCGCCAAATTCGAAATGATGCTCAAATAAACAAATGATTTGTTTACAGGGCACAAGCAATCACATGACGCCGAATATAGGATATGTGTACGGTATTGCTCCAATCTCATTATGTAAAAAGTTTTAAAAACCTATGTGCCCTAACCGCTTCCGAAATTGTTGGTTTTCAGACCATCACCAGCATAAATAATGCGAGACACACGATGCGCACGATGCACATTGAAAGAATCTTGGAAAGTTTCAATATTTTAATATTATTTCACCCCTTGCTTTTGAAACTCTAATGGCATACCGAAGTGGCTTCGGTATGCCATCACCGTTCATACCTATAAGAGACAGCGCCGGAATACATTTCTAGGGAAATACAAGAACAGGAAAAGCACAAGTAGAGGCAAAGAAAAAAACTGTGCTGAAAACTTACTGTCCTTCTCGTAGTATGTGTTCGCCAGTAATAGACTTCCTCTGAAAAGAGAAAATGTGCACCCTTCTTGACAATTTTTGAGAACTTGAAAGAGTTGGCATTGTGATCTTCAGACTCATCTGTGATTGCAGATTATAATAAGCGATGAACTTAACCTTAAGTTTGAGTACAAGTTTGATTGAACCACATTTGAATAAAGGTAACACAGAATTTTTTGACCTTTGGTGAGGCTCTTTACATTTGAACAATTCGACGAAGACCCAGACCAAGCAATCTAAAATACGAACTCTCTCACACTCCACGCTGATTGTAGTGTAGTTCAAACGACCGCGCTAATGCTGTTTCATGTGGGGCAAAAGATATCGATCGATTGACTGCTGTTGCTGCAGCGACTGCGGTATGAAACAACCCGTAGGGTAACTGCAGTCGCTGCAGCAACGGCAGTCAATCGATCGATATTTTTTGCCCCCCCCCCCCCCATATGACTGCAGCAGCTGCAGCGACTGCAGTATGAAACAACCCGTAGTAGTCCTTGGTGAAGGGGGGAGGGACAGTCCATTGGCGGACTTCTTGTCTTCTAACCCAGAATACACCACCAGCTTCCTCATGTAAGGGTTGTTTCATACTGCAGTCGCTGCAGCTGCTGCAGTCATATGGGGGCGGGCAAAAATATCGATCGATTGACTGCCGTTGCTGCAGCGACTGCGGTATGAAACAACCCGTAGGGTACGGGTTCCTTCATACTACGCCGCGTACGCCGCGTACGCCGCTGCAGCGCAATGGAAATATGGAAATACGAAGAAGAGAAATTCTTTTCATCCAGTGATGTGTTTGTAAGGAGATGTTAACAGCGCAAATATACAACCAGATACAACATACAACCATACAACCATATACTAAAAATATACAACCAGGTGACGCAATGTCCAGTCACTTACGATACAAAATGTGAAACTCAAAAGTAGAGAGAGCACAACAACCTAATCATTCCACCAGTCATTGATATAGACAAAGGTAGTCAGGATATTGATATAGACAAAGAATAGTCAGGATAAACAAGCCAAAAGTGAAGAAGAAATGCATAATGTGAAGGAACACTATTGAGAGACACGAATGTGCAGCAAATATAGAGATACATAAAAAAAGTGAAGCTTTGCTGCCGTGAGCATATTTCCATTGCTTTGCAGCGGCGTACGCGGCGTAGTATGAAGGAACCCGTACCCTACGGGTTGTTTCATACCGCAGTCGCTGCAGCAACGGCAATCAATCGATCGATATCTTTTGCCCACCCCCATATGACTGCAGCAGCTGCAGCGACTGCATTATGAAACAACCCTTACATGAGGAAGCTGGTGGTGTATTCTGGGTTAGAAGACAAGAAGTCCGCCAATGGACTGTCCCTTTCCCCCCCCCCCCTCACCAAGGACTACTACGGGTTGTTTCATAATGCAGTCGCTGCAGCTGCTGCAGTCATATGGGGGCGGGCAAAAATGTCGATCGATTGACTGCCGTTGCTGCAGCGACTGCAGTATGAAACAATTTTAAGACACTTGAGCAGCGGCTGTGTCTCAACCAGAGCTTTCAATGGTTTCCACCCAAAAGCACCGTGCACCCTAAGTTGAGGGTCTCGAGCTTTTGGCAGCATATGATATTGGGGCTCTTTATCAAGCCAATGCCCAAGTCGTAGCTCAAAATATCACTTCGGAAGCGAGAAAACACGAGAGAGTTTTCACAAATTAAGCGTTCTGTTAAATGTTTTGATTTTTGATAAGAAATAACAACTTACTAATTGACTTATTTCGGAAATCACTGGCTTACTCAAAAGAATTTCGGAGAAAAAGTGCGATAACTTTATGGCAAACTTTTAATATACAGCAAATAAAGTGGTCTTCTTCATCGTTTCAACTTGATTATGCTTTTTTCCTAAACAACTGTTAAGGCTATTTTCCTTTTGTAACTCAATGCCAAGATATTCATTGAGATTGGCGGAAGCCTGTTATCAAAATAGGTTCTACGATTTCGACAAATTTGTGTGGCATATGTAGATGGAATATTGGAAATACGTACGTACTATTTGACTTTATAATTATGGCTCCCTCTCCCCGATCTCGCAAATATTCATGCATTATTTTTGTGGGTAGTTCATCAAACTGCAAAAAAAGCTGAGTAGTGATCGCTTTATACACTTATGATTAGCAGTGATCTGGCCAACATTTCAAAAATTCAAAAAAAACAGTAATCATGTAACTCATACCTTTCATACATCATATATTAGGTTGGCGCAAAATTAATGAGCGTTTTCCTAAGACTTTTTTCAGAAAAACTTTTCTCCATCAAACTTCTTTCTTTGTAAGGGTTTCCGAATACTGTTAGAAAGCTCTTTTCATGCTCTACCTAATGGTGTTCGAAATGGACTTTTATCCCACTTTGTTTCGTTGCCTTCATTTTTCTAAGTAGAATTTGAGCGCGAATGAAGGTAGGAAAATTTAGCCGCTATATGTAATGGAAATTGTCTACATTATGCATATTTAATCATATTTTTTGAAGATATCTGAAGTGAGATATCGGCGGCTTAACATGGGCAATGGTTGTGGTCATTTTAGAGCCCAGAACTTTCTTTTGTATAATGCAGTCGCTCAAACTTTGCTCATCTCTGTAAGCGTGAGGGCAGGATCCTATTAGCAGTTTTTGCAAAAACATCCAGGTGTTCAGTACGCAGAAAATTAGAAAATTCTATACTTCGGGGTTTTGAGGTTTACTGAAAAAATGCTAAAAAGTTGATAATTTTGAATTTCGATTTTTCCCTCTTCGCTAATCTTTTTCTCCAAACCGTTCCATGTATATTTGTACTACTGGCTTGTGGCTACAACATAAGCTGCTTATAAATGGTAACAACAAAGTATGAAAGGAGTTATGTTTTATCAAAAACAAGACTTCAGAAAAAAAAATTTTTTTTGTTTTTCAATCCATATTTTTCTGCCCATATGAGATATGAGTATAGGCTCATTATTTTTGCACCAACCTAATATAATATATTTAGTATACTGTTTTGAGACGTTTGAGTCTTTCAAAGATTTTCTCTAGATCTCAGGCCATATTTTTTGCTTCTCTCAGATATCCAAATTATTCTGAGAGCTCAACCTGCATAAAACTTTCGTTTGCTTGGCATCGTAAATCAAAGCTATAGAACATCTCTCTCATTCTAGAAAAGATCGTGCTTCCACTTGCCAAATTATTGATGCTGATGCTTCTATCGCAAGTTATAGTGGAGGTGACTCCAGGGAATTATAACGACGATTCCACACCAAAGTGCCACCCTAACAAGGAACTTGCTAACAGTTACTGTGCTTCGGATTGCAGGAGAGAACATGTAAGTCTTGGTCTTGTATTCTATCATAATATATAAAATCGTACGCCAAATTCAAAAAGCGGCACAGAGCGGGAAAACGAGCGGTGGTCCCGGCGCGCGCCCCCTGTTTTTCACGGCTGCCACCGCTCGCTTTCCCTCTACAATAAGGAGAAATGTTTGGCTATCTCTTTGTCAGACATTGTTAAGTCCCGCCGGAGATCCGCACACAAAATGAGATTTCGCGAGAAAACCGGGAGTCTTGCGCGACTCCCGGTTTTGTCCCGAGTGGAAATAGGAATAAATCAATACTGACGCGCAATAGCGTCAAAATCGATGATCGCTACTTCCGGTAATCTCCCGCCACTTTTTAACTGTCGGGATTGTCCCGAAAGTCGGGAGAGTACCGGGAGTCGCGATCATCGATTTTGACGCTATTGCGCGTCAGTATGATTCATTCCTATTTCCACACAGGCTGTTTGCTACTCCACCATTAGGTTTTAATGTTAGCTTTTCCCAATCTAGTATATGTATCCCTCTCTCTGAGTGTAGACTGCAAATGCCCTTTGGTCATACATTACAATTTCATGCAAGTTTTTCACTTCGTACATCGTACTGCTAGTCATACACACCGTCACAAATCCATACTTCTATATACAAACTTTGTCTTTGTAATTCGTATCATTCGCAGTTTACACTGGATTCCCATTTTCTGATCACTTCCTCCTCTGTTCGGATATCAAAAAACAAAAGAGTTCTCAACATAGGCCAGTGGGGAACGTAAAACTCATTATTCAGTGCAATTGCACATGCATACACACGTAATCTTACGCCAAAGAAAAGTAAGTTATTTGTTATCATCCTAATACCTTTTGACCCTGCGTTATGTGTTTGCTTAATGTGTAGCATTTGTGCGGATATTCAACTATACACGTAGTATAAGCACATCGTCACATAATTATTTTCCATATGCAAAGCTTGGCTGTGGGCATGGGCATTATATCAATCGCGGTGTATACTAAAACCTTTTTCGATCATTCAATGCTCTATTTTGGGTAATAACATAACGTACATAACATGCGTCATATCACATAGCGAAAGGCAGCGAAGTTACTTTACGGGCAGGACATGTATTTGAGCGAAAGAATTTCACGAAGTCGTGGAAATTCAACGGATTTCCTCCATTCAAGGTTACCTATTGTAGTTGTTATTGATACAGCAGCACTTAATTTTGTTTGAGAATGCTAACATGATCGATATTCGAGAACTGGACGCAGCCATCAAGGGCACACAAGAATGACCATTTTTTGTTAATGATGGATTTTTTAGGTTCTAATTTTGCATGTAAGTGAGACTAAAATTTCGAGTCTATCCTGAAGAGGGGCGCACTTAGGCATGCGAGCCAAAACAAAAATTCCAAAAGTTTGCGTGCAGACAATCCGGTAAAAGAGGAAGATTTCCGCATCTGCAGGACCTGCCTGAAAGTCTGGTCACATTTTTGATAAGTAAGTGATTGATGGTCTTTCTAAAAATTCTAAAATACATCTTCCAGATTTCGTTCTTGATGGTGTTGGCCTATACGCAGAAGAACTGCTGATGAGTGCTACCGAATGCGCGCGGCAATCAAATAGGTATAGATAGAAGTGTTTCTACCCCTTGATCTCTCATTGATTTAGATTTTGGCTGGGCCCAGGGAATGACGATGAGGCTAGGACGAAGACGTTTGACAAGTTGTTGGAGGCGAGGATGAAGCTTAATGAATTAGCACGAGTGGCTATAGGACGATGATAGACTAGAATAGACTCATCAATGTTGTCAGAAGATAGTAACACTTGGATGCCATGTATCCGAACTTGTAGAGCTACAACTACCTAGCCAAAAACGAAAATAAAAAGACGCAAACTCTTCGCGTTTGCCGCTCTCCTTACCACAAGAGGACAGCGTCTGGTTCCGCTGGTATACAGGGCTTGTTAACAGGCTGACGCTCAGTCTACAGTCAGAGGTGGTTCTGACTCACTCCAAGGAAAGGCGTGGGAGGTCGCAACCTTTTGCTTTGTGTAGGTCACAAAAACAAAAAAAATTCTAGCTTCGCATTGCAGATGTACGCAAACTATTGCGACTAAAACCGTCGGCTCATATCGCGCAGCATAGCCTGCTATTTTTTGCGAGCAAAGCAGCCTTGTCTTGGAATGAAAGAAGCGATGTCTAACGTTCCGTTTATTTTATTGAAAACTAGCTGGCTTACCCAGCTCCGCCGTATGTTCCGAATAGAAAATTCCATTTCTTAACCGATCCGGACCAAACTTGCCACACATACACTTCGGGCCCCGGCGGGTGTCACAGTCCACTTTTCGTTATCGATCGATGTCGATTTTATCAATTTTTTGCAAAATTTGAGCTAGGGGGCTGGGATTCGGCACAGGGGGGTAAGTGAGCATGGGGATTCCGAATACAATATTAGTTTTCGAAACCGTGCATTACTTTTATCGATTTAATCGATAAAATCGATATCCATCGAATACGAAAAGTAGCCTATGACACCCGCCGGGGCCCGAAGTGTATGTGTGCCAAGTTTGGTCCGGATCGGTTCAGAAATGGAATTTTCTATTCGGAACATGCGTACATACATACAGACAGACATACAAACAGACATTCAGTTTTATATATAAGATTGAAATTGTTCCAAGTATTTATCCTTTTCTTTGAAACATGAGTTTTTTATGAGAAAGCACATAATGATCCATAATCCTTACTTTTCTTCACAGGTGGTGTTACGCCTGTTGTCGTAGAAGGACCGATAATTGCGGATCAATGAGGGCACAATTTTTGCTTTTGCGTGGTCTAATAATCAGCTTTCGAGAAGAATTAGTCACTGATAATTGAATTTCAAGACGCTTTCGAAGTTTGCTGTTTGGTGCATTTATTCGACAGCAATTTTTTTAAAGTTAAAGACTTTCAGAAAGATTATCGAAATCATCAAAGCCGGTTAGAAAATGAGAAACAATCATGGGATTGTCAAGCACGAGATATGGTGCTCCTTTTTTTGAGAACTTATGACTCATATGCAGGATATAATATGTAACTCACACTTTTATACGTATCTTTGCGCCGGTATAGAAATTTTATGTTACGGGGAGGGGGGGGAGGGGTGGTGACAGCACTTTTTGAGGGATGCGTTAGCCATATTCCGCTATGATCTTTGAGATGCATTCTTATCTTGCGAAACGCAATCCGAGATCTCAGGAAAAGGAAGCGTAGCGGCAGCAAAAAGACTTTGAAAAATTTCGCAAGGCTGTCTTGGATTTTTAAGAATTTCTGGGGTTTACATAAAAACTCAAGCACTTGATTTCATAACTCACCTGAACTTTCCAACTACGATTCTGGAGAAGGCTCCCCTCTCTGCCGGCTATGTTATATTTTTCTTCAGTAAAACTCAAGGAGGCCTCATCTTATCGGCGAAGTTGTTTGATGGCATTTGCGTATACGAATATAACCCTAAAATATTGCGCGAAGTTGAACCTCAAAAGGCGGGGGGGGGGGGGAGAGATCGAATACTATGTCTAGCTCACTATATATGTCATCATCTTTCGCAGTGCCTCATTGTATAAATTTGTAATTCAAGTCGTAAGAAAAAACACTTCTGCGGGAAATCGTAAATAGGCAATAAATTGAGTATGACAGGGAGCAAAACTGAGAGCGGCACATAATGGCTTGAAAACAAATGTTGTGAGATGAAGACAATTATAGAGCTTAGAAAAAGATGGCAGAAAGAAAAGAGAAAAAAGAAAAAGATTTTCGGCAAATCAAGGGTGTAAAGAAGAAAAAGCAAAGAAGATAAAACACCTCCTTGCGGTACACCACGATGCAGCGGTGTTTTTCAGAGAACTTATGACCTAAAGGCTGCTGCATGACAAAGGTGCAATACGTTTGGGTGCGAACGCGGCTTTATTAGCCGCAGAGCGCATAAGGCGCAGGATTTGCCATGATAAAGATACGCGCGCGCCAAGTTTGCGCCCGCTCAACTAATACTGCTATTGCGCCTTCGTCATGCAGCAGCCTTTACTTTGACTTTCATATGCGATCTCGTAGGTAAGACATCAGCCAAGAAAAGAGATTTCCGTCAACTCCGAGGTTACGCATTTTGGCGAGTAATTTGCTGTGACAGACTTTATCAAAGGCTTTGGAAAGATCGACATAGAAAACATCAACGACTCCCCGTTATTAATTGCCACACTCCAGTCGAAGACACTGTCAACAAGATTGGTGGTGGTGGAAGCTCTGCCAAGAAAGCCATGTTCATCAGGAATCAAACCTAGTTGAATCAGCTAATTCGATAACTTATCACGTATAATCTTTTCCATGATTTTGATGGGAGTAGGCAACAGACTAATTGGGCGAAATTCGTTGATGAAAGTAGCGCTATTACTTTTTGGTATGGCTGTGACAATGGTCTCTTTCCATAAATTAGGTACTTCACCCACCAGCATCGAAATGTTGAAAATGTGAGCGAGTGGAGCAGCCAGCGATGAAGCGCATTTGAGATAGACGATCTGAGATATTCCATCGAATGTTTCAGTGATAGAGGGCTTGAGTTTTTTTTAGATCTTATATATAAAGCTGAATGTGTGTATGTCTGTCTGTCTGTACGTATGTGCGGAATAGAAATTTTTATTTCTGAACCGATTCGGACCAAACTTGGCACACATACACTTCGAGGCAGGGAGCGTGTCATAGGCTACTTTTCGTATCGATCGATATCGATTTTATCGATTTTTTGCAAAATTTGAGCTACAGGGCTGGGAGTTGGCACAGGGGGTGGGTAATCGAGCATGCTGATTACAAATTAAAAATATATTATTGACAGGCCCGGGCGGAGCCGGGTTTGCCAACTAGTAACGATATAAAATAGACGGATCAGGGTAGACATCATCACAGCGTTCGCGAAGCGTAACAGTACTAACATCGTTAAAAGCATTAGAGTGCACATTTTCACCTTCATCAGACACATTAGCGAAGTATTCTCCAACAGCATGAGCTTTATCATTATGGCCAACATAAGACTTGCCGAAAGAATCTCTGGAAGTTAGAAGATGTGGATTTGATTTCATTTTGCTTTTCAACTACCAAAAGAGATATTTCGGTGAACTTTTAACAGCAAGCTTTCTTTCACGATAAACGAAATATTTTTTTACATGATGGTCTATATCAGCACAAACTTTTTTATAGAGGGAATCATAAAGAGGATTAAGCAATATGTCAAAAAGGCGCTGCTTCTGAAAAATTAAGGCGCGAATATGAGCGAGATAATTCTCTTTTGTAGTTGAGATTTAATGAGAACGAATTTGGAGAATGCGTCGAGTAGAGGGATACAAAAAGAGGGAAAATTCTCATAAACTTCAAAGGAGATAAAACGATGATTAGATGAAACAAAAGGAGGAAGCATAGTGATATTGACAATAATCGGATAAGACAATACTAAATCGAGGACGTTTCCGGCATGGGTAGGAAAGCTAATGTGCTGCTTTAGTCCGCAGTTAATTACAAAATCTAGAAAAGGAGTGGAAGCAGTATTCAAAGCCTTCATGGTAGATCAGTCAAACTGCAAGTTGAAATCACCAAGAAAGATGGTTTAAATATTTTGACATGCTAAACAATTCATTATATTCATCAACTTATCATCATTTTCACGGCTAGATTTGGGTGGGCGGTGTACAGCTACGAATTGCATGCCTGAATTGTTAGTAGGGTGTAGTATCTTCACGGTGAGTATGTCAGCTTTGCTTTCGGTATCGACGTCAACGTCATTAACAAGGATATGTCCTTTTATTAAGCAGCAAACACCACCTTCCCTTCTATGCCCTCTATCAGATAGAGAGTATAGGGCAAGCCAGAAACAACCTCGGAGTCAAGAATTCTTGAGGTTAACCAAGTTTCAGTAATGAAGACAACATCAGGTTTATGGTGACATAGAAACATTTGCAGAAGATGTAGTTTATTATAGACTACGCGCATTAAACAAAAAGATTTTCAATTTGCTAGGTTGGTCATCATTCATAAAACAGTTCAACGAAAAGGATTCAACCAAGCATGATTTCATTTTTTTTGGTGGCAAACTTTTGATTTTAGGAATATTTGTCGCTTTTACAACCTGTCCTCTAAAGACTACGTAAACCCCGTTTCCGTTGTGATCTCTCATATTCAAACTACGTGCTTGCTCCCACAGCTCCCGATCCTAGTTTCTTTCCTCGCGAGTCATGGATTTGCGAATGAAAATATTTTCAAGACCGGGTGTGCTGCGGAGACGAGGAGCTTTTTTTAGCGCCTCGAAATAGAAAAAGTGTGATGGAAACACACATTTTATCAAGCGAGATCTGTCTTCACTGGGTTTACCCAGTCTGTAGATTTCAGTAGGCTTTGCTTCGATATCCAATCTGTCAAGAACCGATATGACAAATTTCTCCGTATGTGCTTAACGTTCGGATGCGATACCATTGTCAAGTTCCGGCACTCCAGATATAACAATGGAGCGGGATCGTTTTTCGTCGTTCAAAAGCTCTAGACTGGCCGATTGTTTGACCAAGTTTAACAAACTATCAAGAAGCGACAAAGCTTCGGGAGTTTTATCCGTCAAAATCGTATGCAGCTTGGTCAGAAGCATACCTTGTTCTCGTTGTTCTTTGCTTTCTGCTTCAATAGAAGGTGCTTCGGCGGGTCCAGAAACATCCTTTCCCTTCTTAATTTGCGCAAGTCGACGTTGTGAGACTATAGTAAATACACACGGCCGCTCA